TAACTACTTGATTCAAGACTCTTTGCTAGTTATCGAGGATGCTGTGAGTTGAACTGCAACGCTTGGTTCATTACATCATCTTTGTCCTTTGTGATAACTGAAAGGTACTGCGCCCGCACTCAGAAATTCTATATTCCTTTTCCGTCAGTCTATCTGTGCATTATGCATTGACATAATCTTGTCGAGCTACATTTTCTCAACAGCATCTTATCCATTATCATATAATCACTAATCTCCTTTTAAATCTATGCTTTAGTTTGGCGCATACTGTTCCATCTCTCTTGATGCAATATTAGTTCATTGGAAATTTGAAACCGTGGATAGAGTTAAATGCTAATTTGGTTAGGGAACTTCTGTTACAGATCAGATGAAAACAGCACGTATAGGGAATGATGAGTTGCAATAAAAATGTTTTTATTGCGGGAAAACGCACTTTATATAATTCATTTTTTATTTCTGAAACCGTCAACGGAATATTTATTTTAAAAAAACTTTACCCTTTATAGATATTTATCAAGTAATTTTCGGTTTTAAATAGGGTCATGAAAATTTTAGATTGAAATAAATACAAAAAAAAAAAAAAAAAAAAAAAAAAAAAAAAAAAAACTATCTAGACATAAAGTATCTTTGTATAATATTGTAATTTATGAGAGACATGTTCTTCAGGTTAATTTTTTCTGAGCTTTTAAATTACATACAAATAGCAAATATGAAAACTGCAACAGCTACTGATCCATACCTTTTTTTTAGAAGATTTCTGGTCGCATATCTTTTGACACATATCCTTTCAGTTTCCCATTACTTACAAGCCTCATAATTCATATCAGTTGCCCATCATTCTTTGATTCTGAATTACTGACACTAGAAACTACACATTGTCGGAGAGTTTCCCATTGATGATAATAATTTTTCAACGCGCCATCTTGCACGTGTGCACGTCTGTTCGTACTTTATAATTTTTGCATTTTACTTCACAGCACCAGATCAATTTGCACTTTTTTTTAACTTGTAATACCTCACGAGTGTCATATCCTCTGCCACAACACAGAATACCACAGCCTTCTGGGCCCTTTGAATCCTTAACGCATCTTCTTCCAGCTGTACCCATTGTGCCTGAAAACATACGTGTTTCAGTTAAAACTCTATATTGTTAACTAAATTGCCTATTTAAAAAGAATTTTTATTAATATCTCTAATTTATAATGCAGCTAACTTATGTGATTTGTGATGTAATTAATGGATAGTTTTAAATATTTTCAGCATACCATAATTAAAAAAATCTGATGTGTACACCACAAGACTTCCTTGCACGGAATATTAAATCATACGCATTTTTTCTTGCATTTCATTTAAACGTATTAGATTGAATTAAATCTACTTCGTCGATAGCGCATAAACCACAATAGAATAAATGCACTCTTTAAAATACTAATATTTAAAATTCACTATATATAATATATATATATTCACTATACTTATATATCACAAGGACACTCTGGCGATAGGTTCACTTAACAGCGTTACATTTCGTTCATATTATATAAATCGGAATGCATATAAATTTATATCATTTGAAGAATTATCAATCGCTGCTACATGTCCTATTCAAATACTATAATAAATCTAAAACGATGTATAAAAGAAATTAAGCAAGCAAAACAAAAAAAGAAACAGTTTTCTACAGAAGATTCACTATTTCTCATTCAATTAATTCAGTTCTCACTCTCCGACAAGGCAAAAATACATAAAAACTCAAAATATCTATATTAAAAACTACGAAACAAATCTTAAAAACTTAGTTCCTCGAATAAATTCCAGAATGGATTAAACATGATTTAATTTGCAATAATAAAAGAAGGCGTTATCTTTGTTGTTGCGAAGCTTAGTCTCTCTAGATTGGCAATAAATCTGCTATTTTGCTGTTTAAAATGTAAACATGTCCGCCATGTTATTTGAAAATTAGGCTTAACCGCACTTAAACAGCTTTTAAATTGTTGATAACTCTACAAATATTGCTTGAGGATTTCCTAAAGGCATAAAATCCTTAACCGGAAGATAAGAACAACATAATTCAATCCTTTTTAAAGCAAAAAATGCACAACTTACAAACATATAAGAGTAAAGAAACTGAGCCGGTTAACAGATATACGTTTTGTGCGGCCGATTGCAACTAAAATACGAGGTGCACATCTACATGTTATAGGAGTCCTATATACAAAATTTCAACGTTTTGAAGCTACTCGTTTTTGTGTTATGCGAGATACGTATATACGTACGTACAGACGCCACGAAAAATTCTCTTCAGAATTCATTTTAAATCAGTTTTATAATTTTTTGGGGGGAAAAGAGTCTTTTATTCTGTCTTTACGTACAGATGTCCCGCAAGAACATCGTTAAATTGCATTCGATAGCGGTCAAAATGGATATTTTCGTAGAAATATGATTGATTAGAATACTTCCTTTTTACTTCGTACAAGAAAGTAAAAAGACGATTTTCAATATGATTTAAGTGTTATAATTAGTAAATTTTTCAGAAATTTAACAATAGCAGGCAAAGGTCGCAAGGTCTGTTTAAGTCGAAATTTTCGGTGTGTTCCTGTTTCCGCGGTTGTCAAAAACGTTCTTGTTTCCGTGAAATCATCAATCTTCATTACCCACTTTCACATAGGGTTTACATAATGGGGGAGGGGCGACTGGGCCTCGGCCTCTCCCGAAACGTAGATAAGCAAAAAATTTTAGATTTAATAAAAGAATTTTTAAAAGAAATAATCGAAAAATATTTACGATCTCAGATCTTTGCATGAATGAAGCTAATACTGTATTTAAAAGGGGAGAGAGTTGTTCAAACTCTGTGATGATTTTGTCAATGAACTAAAAGATTAAATTTTTTAAAGTAAAAATAATATTCTTTCGAAATTCTGCATAAAGGTGAATTACAATAAAATCGTTCAGAATAAATATTCGTTACGAAAAGAAAGGTGGATTAAATGAACGTCGAATACCACCGCAGCTTCTGACAAATCTTGATAAGATCAACTGAATGGACTCGCTTTATTTGCATTCATCGGAATATCCAAATACATAAATAGAAATCATTGATAAATTTATGAATCGTCAAAGGTAAATTTTTTAGTTTCAAAGATTTAATTCAAAAGTTCTAGAAGTATGGCGCAGGATTCTACATTTGTCATAATAATTTAAAATAATTAATTATGAATATACAGTACTTGTAATTAATTATTGATAGTAAATTATAAGCAGTTATAGAGTATATTTTAAATAATTCAGTTTTGTATATACATGCATATAGGTATATAATGAAACTGCTAATTATTATTAACTTTTTTAATATTATTTAATTTTACAGCGCTCTTTTTCGAAGTCTCCATATATCTAGCTTCTTTTTTAAGAGAAACTGTACTTTGTTAGTCACTTTCATTTCCAACTCTAAACGCATTTTGCAATTAAATTAAATTTATTCCTATGGTCGCAAAATTAAAAACTTCGAAAACACTGGTTCAACAATTGTAACGTAATTGAATTAGAGTCAACTGCTTTAAGGCAACTATCAAGTGACTTGGGTTTATTGTGACTTTGGATATTTTAAAAGACTTATTAAGGTAAGATGTGAAATAACAGCTAATATTGCAACAGAATTACAAATAGAATGAAACTAAAGATTTCGAGAGAGATCTAAACTAAAATACAATGTCGAGATGAAGACTAACTTATTCACAAAGAAACTGTCCAGCTCTTAATGACTTATCATGACACCCCCTGATGAGCTGTGGGAGGGGCACTGTACTCTCCGATTTCGCGGGAACAGGAAGAATTTTGAAAAACGCGGAGAGAGGAATCGCGGAAAAAGAACTAATTCGAAATTTTCGTGTTCTTAAATTCGACAAAATTCACTTTGGCATTGTAAAAAGTAGGTATTTTATAAAAAATTTACATGTTTCCCTTTTTTTAGATGTGAAAATATAATGCCTCATCTTGTTTAACTGAAAATATAAGAAATAATATGTGTGTGTGTGAGAGAGAGAGAGATTAGGGCAAAGCCTCGAGGGCTATCTGCCTAAGGGAAGGAATGCCTTCGTGGAGGACTTTCTAAGAGAAACTGCCTCGTATACACGTTACACATGGGGAAAACTACGAAAAGGCCCATGCAGCCAGCCCGTTCGCAGGATTCGAACATCGGCCGAACTACCAGTGTTCAGCGACTTTACCACTCGGCCGCTGGGGGGCCAAGAAATAATATGAAAGAATGAAATTATAATATATTGTGCTGATTTAAATAATCTCTAAGATTAATTTTATCCTTTCCGCTTTTAAATATTGTGGGGAAAATAATGGAATTAAATTTAATTAAATTAGATGCACCTTGGGGCCCAGTCGGTATAATGGTTAAGGTCGCTGACTGCCGTGCCGAAGGATCCGGGCTCGAATCTCGGAGAAGGCATGGATGTTTGTAAATGTATAGTGTCTGTGCGGCATGCGACACTCTAAATATGCGGCGAGCCGAAAGTCCTCTCGTGTGGTTTGGTAGAAGGGGAAAGGATGGGAGACTCTCGGACCCGTCAACCAGGGGTGCTCTCCATCAAAATTGGGGGGGGGGGAGAAACTGAGCTAAATCGCACTGGTCTCGTTTCTCTGGGCCATAATTTTGTTCTTTTATTTCACATTTACTGAAGCCCAAGTGAAGAATACTTATATTTGTTGTGACTTCTAGTTGTGACAGTTTAAGGTAAAATTTTGCCCAATTTCGTGAGTAAAAGGGATTTTTAGACATTTTATTAATAAAGATATTTTTCATAGCAAAAATAAAATTCTTTATTACTGCCGTAAATTAAAGATGTTAGCTATTTATTAGAATGCTTTTTAAATGACAGATACTTGGGTCATTCTGACACTAGTCTAGAAATGAATTTTTACGGTTATGAATGTGTATGTGATACTGTGAAAAGAAAGAGACATTTGTGCAAATTCGAAATTGTCCAGAATCTTAAATTTTATGTACTAAAATAAATAATGTAAATGATTGCACAGAATTATGCTACAGGAACTGGATGACATATCACATCAAGTCTGTACAGAAAGCATAACAATTGCATTCTGCCTCTTGATTAAAGATATGGAAAATGTTATAAAAATTATATCTGCAAATGGAAGATTGGATTTTAAGGTAACACAGTTTGATTCAGCACACTTTGGTTTGATGGAATCAAAAATTTGCAAATAAGATGGCTTTCAACGCCTAGTTCATCTCAAGATGGCTTGAAATAATAAAAACAGAATATTTACTTCGACAACACTTCAAAAAGGATGATTTTGTTCTGCTATTCTTGTTTGCGCATTTCGCATTTTCAAGCTGCATTTAATATCCTTACTAGTTCCTTCTAAAGCCTCATGTTAATATGTTTAATATTTTTGCACAATCATAATACACTTTCACTGACAACTTCCAGAGCTAAAAATACGTATTTATTTGAAATGGAATCATATTTCATTTCGACTTTGATTTCTTTGTAAATTTTATGGACGTCCATCGCGCTAAGAGCTTGCACGTGCAATGCTTTTGCTTCTGTCTTTCAACTTCGAGACGATTATGAATCTCAACCAAAAATATGAAGGCAGAAAAATAACTTTTCTTCAGGCCAAAGATGTTTTGTCAGTTTTCTACATGGAAACGAAAGGGAATTCTCCATCTGAAACAAATCAATATAAAGCTTTTTTCAAAACGTAATTCACTGAATTTGTTGTTCCTTAAGAAAAAAACTAAATCACTTTTCAGCGCTTTCGATTCATTACTTTGTAACACAGTAAGTCTTAAGAAAATCTAAGAATGTTGTACTCGTAATACGATATAAAAATAAGTTAGTTGTTGAAATTGCGTCTTTCGGTCCAAAGACTTCTGACTTCATTATCTCTTTAAGACATTCTTATTGCACGTCTTACTTTGATTTTGAACTGACAATGTAACTAAGCACTGCGTATCAGCGCATCTTGCACGTGTACACATCTCTCCATTTCTTGCACTCATCGCACTGGACTGCACAGCACCAGTCTTTAGTTACCATGCAGTTACACTGATAAACATACAATTCCTGCCAAGTGTCGTATCCTCTACCACAGCAAAGAATATCACAACCTTCGGGGCCCAATGAATCCTTAATGCATCTTCTTCCGTTTATACCCATTGTGCCTGAAATAATATTCCAGTTAATCGATTTGTTAATAATCAATATACAGACATCAAAGAAACTTAAATAATATTGCCAAGATCCTTATAATTTCTAATAATGAGATATGTTTTTAATATTCTTCCATAAATTCTTAATTGTTATTTTATGATTATAAATGCTTTAGGATTTTTTATAATTATAAATTTGTTATTTTATAATTATAAGACGCTTTTAAAAATCAAATGAATTATTTCCCTTGAAGAATGTTATTGTTTTTGTAAAGTATCATCGATGAATCTTCCTTTCATAATACCATTATCGAATGTTCTCAAATGTCATTAAATCATTATGAATTGAAACGCCATTCTTTAAAATTGGGAAAAATTGAAACTTAACTGGCAATCATTTGATGACAAACCTCAAAAGAATATGATACTTATCTCTTTTCTTCAGGAGACAAAATTATTTTGCACCACTTTGTCAGAAATACGACACTTATGGAGAAGAAATAGAAATGGAAGAAAATTTTGCAGTAGCATCTATTGAACAATAAGGAAAGCAGAAGAATTATTTTAATTCTCCCCTTGGAGTTTTCAAATATTTTAGTAAAGGTAAGGTATCTGCAAAGACTACATAGATTTTGTCTCCAAGCAATTTTCTTTTGATCATAAGTATTCCATTCATACGTATTAACGCCACCCTATCGAGTTAGTGGTTAGCAAAGACAGCTAACTAGGAGTCTCGCTAGGAGTCTGGATAAGGCTTGAACGCGTGACTGAATGAATACAAGCTATTTGTAATCATTGTGTTTATGTCTGCAGAGGCACTAAAATCTGTTTGTCTGAAAATCCCCTATTGTGAGTTGCGGCGAAGAGAAAAGTCATACGACCATTGAATCGGTTACCCCGAAGGTATTCGTTACCAAATTTAGTTTGCGCGCTAGACAGTCAGTCACCACGGATGCTCACAGATTTACAATCAATGACTACTACATTCATTTCTCAAGCATGCTTCTTCGTACCATTTTTTCTCAAAATGGCCAACGCATAAGAAGGAAAAGTTAATCAGAAGTTTAAAGCGAACTTTCTATATTTTCTATATTAAATTAATTAATATGCATTTTTTCAGTTTCGATTTTGGTACGCACACAGGCACTAGATTTAACCGTGCATTCTTTGGAAAATTATGTATATTTTCACCAGTAACTTTGCCATCAACATTTTTTTTTTTTTTTTTTCCTTTTTCTACTCCTATGATTTAAAATATGTGATATATTGCAAGACTTTTTAATGTTTATTTTTTATTATTTTACACATACACCTTGTAGAGACATTAGGATTTTTTTGGAGCAGGAAAGATGAAAAATAAGCTACGCCTTCGCCGGGAATCGAACCACGGACCTCTGGAACACTGGCCCAGCGTGCTCTTATACATCACGAAGGCACGCTAGGAAAGTGGGAAAAATACCTTATAACCTTACCCTTCCACAAAACCCCTTATGCAGTCTTTATTTCTGCAACTGCTGGTCCTAGTTTGAAATCGTCAGTTTGTTATAAGAAAGTAAGACGTTAATTTTTACAGAATTGATTTTTAAAAAGGCAAAACAAATATATTTCCGAGATTTAAAACATTTTTACATTTGAAAGTATATCTCTAGGGCCCAAAAGATGTAAAAGTAAAAGCCTCTGAAAATATTCGTAGACATGCTATATGTTTAAACACTCCCAAACAATCTACTTAAAAATATTCTCAAAATAACCTTAAGGAAATATCAGAAATTCCTTTCTTGTAAGTTTCGAAGTAAATGACCAAATGAATGAGAATTGTTAATTACTCGTTATCAATGATCACTATCATTACTCATGAATTGCATTTTAATATAAATTATTGGATTAAATTAAATCTACTTCGTCGATAGCGCATAAACCACAATAGCATAAATGCACTCTTAAAATTCACTGTATTTGTCTACCATAGCGACACTCTGGAGCTAGGATCACTTATTTCGCTCATATTATAACTCAGAATGCATATAAATTTATATCATTTGAAGAATTATCTAATCGTTGCCACATTTTCTATTCAAATACTATAATAGATCTAAAACGATTTATAAAAGAAATTAAGCAAGCAAAGTAAAAAAGAAAGAGGTTTTCGCAGACGATTCAGTATTTCTCATTCATTTAATTCAATTTTTACTTCCCGACAAGGCAAAAATACATAAAAACACAAAATATCTATATTAAAATTACGAAGTAAATCTTAAACACTTATTTCTTCGAATAAATTCCAGAATGGATTAAACATGATTTAATTCGTATTAATAATCGAAGGCATTATCTTTGTTGTTGCGAAGCTTAGTTTCTCTCGATTGGCAACAAATCCACTATTTTGCCAATTTTGAAATGTAAACAAACATGTCCGCCATGTTATTTAAAAATTAGGCTTAACCGCACTTAAACAGCTTTTAAATTGGTGATAATTCTACAAATATTGCTTGCAGATTTCCTAAAGGCCTAAAAACCTTAACCGGAAGATAAGAAAAACATGATTGAATCCTTATTAAAGCAAAAAATGCACAATTTACAAACATATAAGAGTAAAGAAACTGAAATCACTGAGCCGGGTAACAGAGTGGATATATATATAAATATATTTGTATACATTTGGTGCGGCCAATTGCAACCAAAATACGAGGTGCAAATCTACATGTTATAGCAGTCCTACATACAAAATTTAAACGTTCTGAGGCTACTTGTTTTTGAGTTATGCGAGATACATACGTACGTACGTACGTACAGACGCCACGAAAATTTATCTTCAGTATTCATTTTAATATAGTTTTATAACTTGTTTTGTAGGAAAAGTCTTTTATTCTGTCCTTATGTACAGATGTCATGCAAAAACATCGTTAAATTGCATTCGATAGCGGCGAAAATGGATATTTTCGTCGAAATATGATGTTTGAAACTTTTCGCGATTACAATACTTCCTTTTTACTTCGTACAAGGAATCTAGTTACAATCTAAAGTGCGTAATATAGCGAAATAATTAAATACATGGATATTTAAATTAAATAGCTGAATGATCTTACCTAATTTCTTATTGACGACACAGTAGTCAGGCGATGGATCCAAATAAACGAGGTCATTCTTTGTGAAGCGTTTGAGCCCTTCCACTGCTGCCAGTTTACGTTGATTATTTATCGTAACCTGTACTGCCCCTTCGTACTTCTGCTTTAGATACTGACCAATTTCCTTGAAATTACGGGGGAAACTAAAACATGTTCTGATACCACAGGATCCGCTTATACCGTGACATTTACACTTCAGATCAGAATTTATCATCACTGCCTGAAAGCAAAGAAAGCCGTTAATTTAAGTATCGTAGGTTGTCCGAATCATGAAATTTCGTTCTTTATACCACATAAAAATTTTTTAATTTGTAAGATTGGAAGACTATATTCACAGTGCAAGAGGAAAAAGTTTAATTGTTACACACAACAAGATAGTATTATTAATATTAAGAAAAGCAATAGGAATGGTAATTGTATTCTAGATATTCAACGGTGAACTTTTTTTTGTTGCCTAATCCTAAGAATTCTTAAAGTGCGGCATAGAAAGATACAGTACTTATTTTCAAAATGCTTTAAAAAGAAGATTGTTCCACTCTTTCCTCCAAAACATATTTTGCTTTCCATTGAGGCATTGCTTCAATACCAATTTATTATTCTGAGCATAAAAGTATAAAGTTTTATTCTGGCATCAAAATTGCTCCTCCTGATTTCCAAGGTAAATTCACTACAGTTCACGCCGCTTAATGTGGTTGTGCTTAATTTTATCATCAGGATATTGTTATCGAATTGCCGAAGTCCTTCCCATTTGTATACGAAAATATCTCATGTGTACTTACTTGTACTCATGACTTACTTGTACGGAATATTAAATTATGAGCATCTTTTCCTGCATTTCATTTAAACTTATTTCCTCGAATTTCATGAGAGACATATTTCTCATTGTTTTAATTCAGTTCTCACTTCGCGACATGGCAAAAATACATAAAAACCTCAAAATATCTTTACTAAAAATTGAAAACTATAAAACACCAAATACAGTTAAACCAATTAAATTTTTTTTTTTACAATTAAAATTAGACTTTTACGCAGAAACAAGCAATTCGGCCAGAGGGCAAGAAGACAGACTTTTCGATGCACAAAGCTGAATGTTTACGTTTGGTCCCACTCAGCAAAAGGACACTGAAGGTGCAGAATCTGACTTAATTTCACTTAATTCACTATGCTGCTAAGTTTCAGAGGCAAATAAATATGGCTGCTATCTGCTATGGTAAAAACATTTAGGCCTAGCCGCACTTAAACAACATTTAAATTGTTGATAATTCTACACCTATTGCATGCAGATTAACTAAAAGCCAAAAAAACTTAATTGGAAGATAAGAACAACATAATTCAATCATTTTTAAAGCAAAAAATTACCATCATATGAGAGCATTTTTAATCATATAAGAATACCATTTACCATCATATAAGAATAAAAGAAACTGGGTTCACGGAGCCGAGTAACTGAAGGGACATATATATATATATATTGTTGGTGCAGCCGATCGCACCCAAAAAAAGGAGGTGCACAACTACATGTTATAGCAGTCCTATACACAAAATTTCAAAGTTCTTAGGCTACTCGTTTTTGAATTATGCGAGATACAAACATACGTACGTACGAACGTACAGACGTCAAAGAAAAAAATCTCTTCTGAATCCACTTTAAATCCTTTCTGCAACCGTTTTGAGCAAAATAGTCCTTTATCCTGTCCTTACCTACAGATGTAGCGCAAAAAACATCGTTGAATTGCATTCGGTAATGGTCAAAATGGATATTTTCGTTGAAATATGATACCTGGAATTTTTCGTGACTACAATACTTCCTCTACTTCGTTCAAGGAAATAAAAAATGGAAAATACATTGCTTATTGTAGTATGATGAACAATTCGGTTAGTATAATCAAAATATCGCCATAAAATAAATTTTTTAAACTTATAAAATCACTAAATAAGGCAAAAGAGGTTTTTAAAATTTCAAAACGAAGAAGGAATGTCACCAAGTTAGGGATTAAGTCGGCAAACAGCTTCATTACGAAATTTATACTGAAACATTGAAAAATTAGGCAAATAAGAATCTTAATTAAGCTTAGATTTTGAATTTTGATTTGATTAGGCGATCACATTCTTCTCCAGGAGAAAAAAGGGGTGGGGTGGGGAAAAAAACCTGCAGGGTTTTATATATATATATATATATATATGAAGGGGGAACCTTCTTGAAAAGAATCTATACCACACTAAGGTTACTTTTTTTTCTTGGCCTAATTTTAAAGTTTAGATTAACATGTTTTCTTCCAGCGTAATTAAATAAACCCTGTGCAAATGAACCCGTTTCCAAGTTTTATAAAGATCCGCTAGACTAACCAGTTTAACGAAGCTACGATTCTAGATAATCTTGTTTTTATATGCTAAAAAGTTCTCTTCTTTCGGTTCTGATCTTTACATTTTGCAAAATTTCTCTGCTAGGAAGTGGTTGTTTTTTATACAACTTAGTCACTTTTAGTTACTTTTATCATGTGTAGTCACTTTTATTCTCTTTTGACCGCTTTAAAATTATAAAGATTAGCAAAAGGTATAAGGATCCCAGTTTAAGGTAATGATTCTCAACCACAGTGCCACGGCATTTTAGTTTATCTCTAAATTTTACGAATGCATACAGAAAAATTATTTTTGCTTACCTATATATAGGATGACTGCTCTCAGGCAATACAAATATTTTGTGCATGCCAGCTCACAAAAGAGCTAAGAAAGGATACAAATTACGCTTGAGTACATTAAATGCTTACTAACGATCACTCAATTACAGAAGATTTCCTTGATTATGAAGTAACTTTTCTCATATAAAAGAGGAGAAATATGTCAAGACGCTATCATATGTGTTTAAATACCCTATTCCAGAATTTGCAAAAATAATGCAAGTTCAAAAATGTTAGAAATATCTGAGACAGGTTAAATATGGCTGGCTTCTGATGCGGGCCAACCGAACGTCCAGCGGGTACAGTACTGCGGCTGAGCAATACTTGTAAAAGTCACTGACAAAGTTCGGGTGCTTCGTCCACTTTTCCCTGTCCCTGTACTGCGCGTGTAGGATTTTCTTGCACTTAACATCATGAGATGCCACTGCGAACAGTAATACAAAAGCGATGTCAGACAAGTTATGGAAATAGACAGGTGCAGACTAATTGTCGAGAGCTGTGTTTGCGATAAGCAGACGGTAGGGTTATGTTACTGCTTACATACTTGCTTTCGAATGTGCAGTACCACAACATTATATTGTCAAACATAATTAAAATGGATTTAAAGATTATAATACCATATGCCGTTTTAAAAAACGTTTTGACAAAATTATTTTAATTTTAAAATAACCTTCTAAAATGGATAGACAGATAAAAAAAAGAAAGACTTACGAAAATAACAAGGATGTTAGCGATGAGGCGTACGAGCCCGCAGCTAGTTCAAGTAAAGATGTTTACTCCGTTAAAAAATGCAATGCTCATCGCAAATATAATGACGACTTCCTAAAATTTGGCTTTACATCTGCAAGAGAAAATGATGAAGCTATTTCCGAATGTGTGACGTGTAACTGTAAATTAGCAAGCAGTGTTACGATTCCCAGCAAGCTCTAGTGTCACTTGCTCTGTAATCATCCTTCACTTGCATCAAAAGACAAGAGTTACTTTCAAAAATCATTACTGTAAGATCCAAAGAAATAAAGGTTTCAGAAAGCAATTTAGTCCGTCTGAAACAGCTCCTTACGAAGTGGCTGAATTAATTGTTCTTAAACCAAAGAGCTCTGGATTGGGATGAAGAAACTATATTACTTGCTTGTCATAAAACTCTAAAAAGAGTGGTCGGTGAATTCGGTTGTGAAGCAGAGAATCATCGTGTGACCTTTTTATGCTGCATCAATATGTGAGGTAAAAAGAAAAAAAAAAAAAATGCTACTAATCGTAGAAGAAAAATCCTCGATGCTTTAATTAGTAAAGAGTTTACAATGGACTATAGATACAATCCAAGATATGGATTATGTCACTAATTTTAATGAATGGCAACTGATATGGCATAAGGAACTGAAGACTGATATTTCTCTTCCTGATGACAACTGCGCGAATTCACAATATAAATGTCTGTTTTAAGCATGTTGCCATAACCCTAATTCACTCATGTGATCTATTATTAGGCCTGGTGGCGCTAGCGTGTCGCGCAGCAGCACCACAGGTCCAGGATTCGATCCCCTGGATGGGCAAGGCTGACTCAGCCCTTAATCCCTGGAGTGGATGGATCAAATGAATACCAAGTTTGCTTGGGGGACTAAACACCGGGGTTCCTGCGACAAGCTGACTAGTTGTCCAGGTTAAGATGCACAAGCACCCCGAAGCCCACGGTATAGAAAGCAGATATCAGGGCACTGATATCCATGAACGTCCAAGGCTCTCTATGGGCTGTTTGTGCCGCCGCGTTTAGTTTAGTTTTAGTTTAGATCTATTATAAGAGCGATGGTAGAGCATTTTTAGTGGAAGATGATTCCTTTATAAAATGAGTGATCTAAGTGCAAATGGAATGAACAAAAAACTAACCTTCTTGATGCGCTGCAGTTGCTGAAAATGTTTGAAACAGTGTCTCATAAACAAACAACTGTTTTCAGTGTGCCAACATTTTAATAAATCATGAAATAAAGGAGGTTCAAGAATGAATAGCGAGGAATTCAACTAAGGTGTAGATTTTAATTGCAAAACTGATAACTGAAACATGATGACAGTGTACGTGGACGTGATTTTAAATCTGCTTTTGAATCTTTGGAAGGAGAGGATTGTTTCTAAGCTTAAAAAAGCCTTAAAGCAGGTTCCAAAATGCTGGGTTGATACTGTGAGTTTTTGAGCCAGAGAAGCTGTAGAATACGCTACCTCAAAAAGTTTTATACTCCAAACTGGATTGCCGTAGGTGCAGTTAGTAACTGCTTCCTTTTTAATGCCTGCATTAAAAACCCAATTCCGTTGCTGAAGACAATTGCAATCCAGTGCCAATGGTTTGCGGACGATCTTTGTTTCATTGCTCCAGGAAGAAAAAAGAATGCTAAATTCGAAATTGAGAAGAAACTAAATGAAATGCTTGTGACATTGAACAGATAGTGTGAGGAAAATAATATATTGTTAAATTTGACAAAAGCAGCAGTACATAGTACCTTCTCCCATATGGACAGTATTAAGCCCGAGATCTTTTATCAAGGGTCTCGTTTGG